CCTCTCCTTCGATGCTTCCAGGAACCTCCGTGATGCAGGTCACAGCCACGGACGCGGACGACGAAGTGAACACCTACAACGCTGCCATCGCTTACAGGATCATCAGCCAAGAGCCTAAACAGCCTCATTTGCAAATGTTCGCCATCAACAGGGACAGAGGAGTCATCAGTGTGCTCACTACCGGGCTGGACCGTGAGGTTAGGGGGGAAGAGATCCAGAGGGTGTTGTGGGCAAATGCACATTAGCTAAATCCATGGACAACTTAAAACTCTGCTGAGGCCAGTTGTCAGTTACATGGTCATGGTCTGAGCTTTGCATCTAGACATGTGTGCAGAAGTTTTGTGCCTAGGGGACAGGCTGCTAGGCCGGCATTTAAGCAGATGATAAAATATCTGTGTCTATGCTATGGGCTGGGCTGATGTGGCTGTGGTTCCTAACTTGGGTGTGTTCGATCTCTGCAGAAGTTTCCCAACTACTCTCTGGTGATTGAAGCTGCTGACCTTCAAGGTGACGGCTTAAGCACAACTGCGAAAGCTGTGATCACGGTCCTTGACATCAACGACAACCCTCCGGAATTTGACCCAACCACGGTAATTCTGCAACTCCTTGATGGTTTCCAAAGAAAGGTCCTTGGTCGCTTTACAACTGTTCCTAAGTGAAGCCTTTGAAAATTTTCCCCAGACTAGTGAACTTTAAGAAGCAAGCAGATTGGGGTGGCTGAGGTCTTTATCTGGTGCCTATTGGCAGAATTTTGTGAAGTGACAAAAAGCATCTATTGAAGCCATGTCCTTGTGTTGTGCATCTTGGTAGCAAATCTTACCAGGTTCTAGTTATTCATTGAACAAACATTTTCTGAATTTATACCAGGCACTATGTTAGACCCTGGAGATATTATCACCAACACGGCAGACCAAGATGCCATTCTCATGAAGTTGATAGTCTATCTAGGGAGATGTTAGACAACTTAAACGGATGATTGTGTGCAATTATATTAAATGCGGTGCAGAAGGGACTAAGCCCCACAAAAGAACCTTAAATCTTATTGTATTAATTAGAAATCAGCTCAATGGTTAGTAACAAAGACTAAACTCTTGGGGTTTAAACAAATCGGGTTGACTTTTTCTTTTGTGTCACAAAAAATCCAGAGGTAGATAGTCCATTCTGTCAATAGAGACTAAACCTGCTTTGTCTTGGGGCATGACTTCCATCCTCAGTGTCACCTTGTGGCCCAGGAGGGAGGCAAGGGCAAGGAGTGCAAAAGGCATTGCTGCTAAGTTAAGTCCTCTTATTTCTGGGAAGATCCATCCCACAAAGTTTGTTTACATCTCATTAACAACTGCTGTCTGCAAAGGAAGACTCAAAATAGAGTATTTTATTTGGGAACATTGCTGCCTCCAACATTACCATAAGTGACGAAGGGGAGACTGGATATTCAGTAGGCAATTAGCAATGTCTGCCACACTCACCTAGACATTGTGCCAGGGAGTAACAGTTATACTAAGACCCGAAAGGAGGTTGGCAAGTGTGGGACAGGGGAGGATGGAAGTGTTGCAGGCAGAAGGATCAGCATAGGCAAAATGCCCTGAATCAAGAGGGAGCTTGATGCATAGCAAGAACTGTAAAACAGTGCAGCGAGCCAAATGAGGTGGGTCCTGCAGGACCTTGTAGACTAAGTTTAGAGTTTTAGAATTCTTAACTCAACAACTGAGCCAGAGTCTGCTGAGGGGCCCGGATAGCCAGGGCCTTGGAAAGCTGCTTTAGGTACTCCCAAGTGCTAGCTGATCCGCCGCCAGGAAAGAAGGGCCCTTCTGGTTGAGTGGCCACTTCCTCTGGGCATCCCCTCAACCCCCTGAGACCTGGTTTCACTGTCGTGTCTCAGGATGTCATATGTGACCCCTCTTCTCCCTTGTTCTGCAGTACCAGGGGCAGGTTCCTGAGAATGAGGCTGATGCCGTCATCGCTACGCTCAAAGTGACTGATGCCGACCTCCCCAGAACCCCGGCGTGGGACGCCGTGTACACTGTAATAAATAACGACGGCCAGTTTGTTGTCACCACAGACCCAGTAACCAACGATGGCATTTTGAAAACGGCTAAGGTTTGTATGGTGCTTGGCAAGATGCAGAAACTGACAGCCCAGCTAGCTGCCTACTCCCTTGTCCCTTGTGCCTTCTCAGTAAATTAACATGGTATTCTCGGGGTAGAGGTGGCTGGCTTTCCCAGTTTCTGTGGACCATTTGGGGTTTGCAGTGACTCTTCAGGCTCCTGTGAGAAGGCAGGAAGCTCCTACCCAGCATCCTAAAATTGAAGAGGAAGTACCATCTGTTTTAATAGGCTCTTTCCTTGAAGCATTTGCCTACCATCCATTTTGCAAATGAGAGCAAAAATGGTTTATTGGTCTCTGCTATTTTCCTGAATTATTTCAGAAGTGGGTCAGATATGACTGTGATTGAAAGATGTCTTGGAAACTTGAAAATAAGAAGTTGAGGATTTTTTTTAAAAAAAAATGATTTTAGAAAGAGAGGAAGGGAAAGGAGAGAGAAAGTGAGAGAAATATTGATGAGAGAGAAAAATTGACTGGCTGCCTCCCACATGTCCCTCTCTGGGATCCAGCTCCCAAGAGAGAGAGAGAGAGAGAGAGGGAGAAACATTGATGAGAGAGAAAAATTGACTGGCTGCCTTCCACATGCCCCTCTCTGGGATCCAGCTCCAAACCTGGGCATGTGCCCTGACCGGGAATTGAACAGGCAATCTCTTAGTGCATGGGATTGATGCTTAACCACTGAGCCATGCTGGCCGGGCATGAGTGATTTTAAAAATTATTAAAAAATAATTATTATTCTTAAATAATAATTATTATTAAATGTGAGGTAAGCCGGTTTTCCTGCTTTCTTAGGTATGGAAACATACCTAAGGCCTAGAGGTTCAGTTTCCCAGTCACACAGGATCTTCTGTTCACCTGCTATTACATGGACAGCATGTCAGACAGGGTATGAGCATTCTCCCTGCTCTTGAGTTACGTGCTAGTGTTTGTTAACTGAAGCTTGCTGTTGGAGATTTCATGAGTTCATCTTTCTTCTTCTTCTGGGGGGGTCTCAATTCAAATGCAGCCAGAGTTGAGGATCACTGGTACATTGCTAACCAAAAGAAATAGTTAAGTGTTGTTGTTTTTTTTTCTACTAATATAACATTTTTAAAACTTTTTTTTTAGGGCTTAGATTTTGAGGCCAAGCAGCAGTACATTCTCTACGTGACAGTGAAGAATGTGGACCCCTTTGAAGTCGCTCTGTCTACTTCCACAGCCACGGTCACTGTGGATGTGATGGATGTGAACGAAGCCCCCATCTTCATGCCTCCCCAAAAGAGAGTGGAGGTGCCCGAAGACTTTCCAGTGGGACAGGAAATCACATCGTATACTGCCCAGGATCCGGACAAGTTCATGGACCAGAAGATAACGTCGTGTGGATTTGCAACTGACTTGGAGCAACTGGGTGCATGTATATAAAATACTTAATTTATAACATTTTATCATCATTGGTCTGTGCAAGACCCTTCTCTTAATTGTTTTTAAAATTTCCTTTTTATTTCCATTCCCCACACCTTTTCCCCTTCCCTCTATAGCTAGCCATTCTAGGATTACCATGCTTCCTCTCTTTGAGTTCATGTAGTATAGTAGGAATGTGGTTTTAATTTACATATATGGTATCTGTACTAATAAAAGGGTAATAAGCTAATTAGACCGGATAGACAGGATGTCCTTCCGTACAAAGCCACAAAATTGAAGAGGAAGTACCATCTGTTTTAATAGGCTCTTTCCTTGAAGCATTTGCCTACCATCCATTTTGCAAATGAGAGCAAAAATGGTTTATTGGTCTCTGCCATTTTCCTGAATTATTTCAGAAGTGGGTCAGATATGACTGTGATTGAAAGATGTCTTGGAAACTTGAAAATAAGAAGTTGAGGATTTTTTTTAAAAAAAAATGATTTTAGAAAGAGAGGAAGGGAAAGGAGAGAGAAAGTGAGAGAAATATTGATGAGAGAGAAAAATTGACTGGCTGCCTCCCACATGTCCCTCTCTGGGATCCAGCTCCCAACCTGGGCATGTGCCCTGACCGGGAATTGAACAGGCAATCTCTTGGTGCATGGATTGACGCCTAACCACTGAGCCATGCTGGCCGGGCATGAGTGATTTTAAAAATTATTAAAAAATAATTATTATTCTTAAATAATAATTATTATTAAATGTGAGGTAAGCCGGTTTTCCTGCTTTCTTAGGTATGGAAACATACCTAAGGCCTAGAGGTTCAGTTTCCCAGTCACACAGGATCTTCTGTTCACCTGCTATTACATGGACAGCATGTCAGACAGGGTATGAGCATTCTCCCTGCTCTTGAGTTACGTGCTAGTGTTTGTTAACTGAAGCTTGCTGTTGGAGATTTCATGAGTTCATCTTTCTTCTTCTTCTGGGGGGGTCTCAATTCAAATGCAGCCAGAGTTGAGGATCACTGGTACATTGCTAACCAAAAGAAATAGTTAAGTGTTGTTGTTTTTTTTTCTACTAATATAACATTTTTAAAACTTTTTTTTTAGGGCTTAGATTTTGAGGCCAAGCAGCAGTACATTCTCTACGTGACAGTGAAGAATGCCATCCCCTTTGAAGTCGCTCTGTCTACTTCCACAGCCACGGTCACTGTGGATGTGATGGATGTGAACGAAGCCCCCATCTTCATGCCTCCCCAAAAGAGAGTGGAGGTGCCCGAAGACTTTCCAGTGGGACAGGAAATCACATCATACACTGCCCAGGATCCGGACACGTTCATGGACCAGAAGATAACGTAAGTGTGGATTTTGCAACTGACTTGGAGCAACTGGGTGCATGTATATAAAATACTTAATTTATAACATTTTATCATCATTGGTCTGTGCAAGACCCTTCTCTTAATTGTTTTTAAAATTTCCTTTTTATTTCCATTCCCCACACCTTTTCCCCTTCCCTCTATAGCTAGCCATTCTAGGATTACCGTGCTTCCTCTCTTTGAGTTCATGTAGTATAGTAGGAATGTGGTTTTAATTTACATATATGGTATCTGTACTAATAAAACGGTAATAAGCTAATTAGACCGGATAGACCTGATGTCCTTCCAGACAAAGCCACAGTGGCGGGGCCAAGGCAGAGGCGGTTAGGGGCGATCAGGTAGGCAGAGGCAATTAGAGGCGATCAGGCAGGCAGGCGGGCAGGCAGGTAGAGGGGTTAGAGGCGATCAAGCAGGCAGGCAGGTGAGCGGTTAGGAGCCAGTGGTCCTGGATTGCGAGAGGGATGCCAGACATCCCCCAAGGGGTCCCGGATTGGAGAGGGTGCAGGCCGGGCTGAGGCCCCCGTGCACAAATTTCGTGCACCAGGCCTCTAGTTGTCTATAAGTAGTTTATTGTTCTCTTTAAACTTGAAGGCACCTCTATGGTGTAAATTACAGCCACAGATACTGAAAATACGCACAAACCAACAGCAACAGTATTCTAAACTTTTGAGAGCTGGGTTTGACTAGGAAAAACTATTAAAGCACAAACCCAAATATGACACACATGTGTCTTGTTAGTAAGTGTGGTTTCCAGGGGCCTTTCCTCTGTTGTACTCACTTCCTCTTCTCAGAGAGCTAGATTTCTACTTGTTAATACCTACTTTAGAGGAATCTGTCAGAACCTCTGCACTATTTATAAAAATGTTATGCAAGTCCAGCCAGCGTGGCTCAGTGGTTGAGCGTCAACCTATGAACCAGGAGGTCACAGTTCAATTTCCGGTCAGGGCACATGCCTAGGTTGCAGGCTAAATTCCTAGTGTGGGACATGCAGAAGGCAGCCAATCAATGATTCTCTCTCATCATTGATGTTTCTACTTCTCTCTTCCTCTCTGAAAACAATAAAAATATATTTGAAAAATAAAAAAATACATTAAAAATCCAGAGGAGAGTCAGGTTTGTTTGGTAATTGAGTGTGTTATTGTTGTGGACGGTATTTATGTTTTAGCCTCCGGGCATGTGACTTATGAAACTTAAAAGAAGCAGATGGAAAGAGTTTAAGTGTGAGTTTTTTCCGGAAGTGTTACTTGTATCCTGAACGAGAGGGCTTGTAAATACCTTTAAACCACGTTCGCACTGCACGGGATGAGCTGTGTGGAGGGTCTGGTCAGTGATCTTAGAGGCCGCGAGCATTATTAGCTCAAGGATGATGGGGAATTTTAAAATGAAGGAACCAGGCCGATAGCACCCACATCTTTGATTAATTTTAACATTTACTAAAAAAGCAATGACAACTCGCTTTGATGTGCCACTTGGTGGGATACGACAGCACGTGCCCAGCGCCACTTAAGAAATCGTTTTTGGAGAAAACAAAAGTTGAAACAGAATCTAATCAAGTCTTAGGGTCCGATTTTGAAGAATTACAGGGAATGAAGAGTGCCCGAAGACTTTCCAGTGGGACAGGAAATCACATCGTATACTGCCCAGGATCCGGACAAGTTCATGGACCAGAAGATAACGTACGTGTGGATTTTGCAACTGACTTGGAGCAACTGGATGCATGTATATAAAATACTTAATTCATAACATTTTATCATCATTGGTCTGTGCAAGACCCTTCTCTTAATTGTTATTTTTTTAAAATTTCCTTTTTATTTCCATTCCCCACACCTTTTCCCCTTCCCTCTATAGCTAGCCATTCTAGGATTACCGTGCTTCCTCTCTTTGAGTTCATGTAGTATAGTAGGAATGTGGTTTTAATTTACATATATGGTATCTGTACTAATAAAACGGTAATAAGCTAATTAGACCGGATAGACCTGATGTCCTTCCAGACAAAGCCACAGTGGCGGGGCCAAGGCAGAGGCGGTTAGGGGCGATCAGGTAGGCAGAGGCAATTAGAGGCGATCAGGCAGGCAGGCGGGCAGGCAGGTAGAGGGGTTAGAGGCGATCAAGCAGGCAGGCAGGTGAGCGGTTAGGAGCCAGTGGTCCTGGATTGCGAGAGGGATGCCAGACATCCCCCAAGGGGTCCCGGATTGGAGAGGGTGCAGGCCGGGCTGAGGCCCCCGTGCACAAATTTCGTGCACCAGGCCTCTAGTTGTCTATAAGTAGTTTATTGTTCTCTTTAAACTTGAAGGCACCTCTATGGTGTAAATTACAGCCACAGATACTGAAAATACGCACAAACCAACAGCAACAGTATTCTAAACTTTTGAGAGCTGGGTTTGACTAGGAAAAACTATTAAAGCACAAACCCAAATATGACCTGAAATCAATAAAAATATATATTTTTAAAAAATGCCACTATAGCGGCCCACCCCCAAGTCACCAAATCTCCAAATGCTAATGGTGGGGATGCTGAGTGGTGCCAAACTCTGAAAGGGTTTGCTTTGAAAAATACATAAGGATCATAGTACTTATTATTCAGGCAGGAATTATCCACAGTTGCTAAGTCTATGGGAGGAAAGTTAGTTGAACAGGATATTCTCAGATGATCTCCCCTCAGAGTATAGGTTAATTTCGAAGAGGAAACATTTGCCTTTACTGGGAAGAAGCCTGTTGGCCCCTCCTTTATCCAAGTGATCAAAGGGAACATCAATAAAAGGATAAACAGACACCATGTACCTCCTAATGAGATGCACCAAGGACACACCATCCACCTGTGTAGAGTGAGGACAGTTTGGGGGAAATTGACAATTTGAATGTGTACCATATGTTTATTAATAGTCACACATGTGTCTTGTTAGTAAGTGTGGTTTCCAGGGGGTAATGGAGGCCTTTCCTCTGTTGTACTCACTTCCTCTTCTCAGAGAGCTAGATTTCTACTTGTTAATACCTACTTTAGAGGAATCTGTCAGAACCTCTGTACTATTTATAAAAATGTTATGCATTTGTAATACTTTAAGCAATAAAAAAATTAAAAGAAAAAAAAAGAAGTAAAAATTTGAGTCTTTCTAAGGGAAAAAAAAATAGTATTTTATCAAAGGTTATATTTTCTGAAATTGAAAATCACATTGTTGGTTATATAAGAGAATGCCTTTGTTCTTTGGAGATGATTACTCATAAATATTTCAATGTGTTAAGGAACATTGTCTGCAACACATATTCTTGTGAGTTCAGCAAAACAAGACATTATGTAAATGTGTGTCAGCTTTTGTATATAGCAAAATATTAACGGGTGAATCTAGGTGAAGGGTACATGGATGCTTAGCACGCTTTTCTGGCAACTTTTGTATAGGTATGATATTTTAAAAGAAAATATGGAAGTCAAAATTGTAGAGAAGTTGGAACTGATCAACAAAGAGGAACTTGAGAATTCATCAGCTACATGCGATCCACTGTTCCAATTCTAAGCCAGAGCTTGTGCCTTCTCAGGTATCGGATTTGGCGGGATACTGCCAACTGGCTGGAGATTAATCCGGACACCGGTGCCATTTCCACCCGGGCTGAGATGGACAGAGAGGACGTTGATCACGTGAAGAACAGCACATACACGGCCCTCATTATAGCTACTGACAATGGTAAGGCCGCCCTTCCTCTCCGGCTTTGCTGCCTCGCCTTGCTCACTTCTTTGCCCCCCACCCTTCTTTTGGAAGCATGAGTTCATTCTTTTTCTTTAACAAAACCATTCTCATTGTCAAAAATGCAAATAATTTCAGTCAAGCAGAAGTTCCTTTTCACCACTTCTCTATACCCGAACCCCACTCCTTCCCCACAGCAGCCAGGCTGTCTGGGTTTAAATCAGTGGTTCCCAAACTTATGTGGCCTACCGCCCCCTTTCCAGAAAAAATATTACTCAGCCCCTGGAAATTAATTTTCCCTGGATCGCTGCAGCGCCTACCAGGGGGCGGTAGCGCCCACTTTGGGAATCACTGGTTTAAATCCTAGGATTAAAGCTCAGTGCCTGTGTGACCTTGAACTTATTACCTAACCTTTATGTCCCTCAGTTCCTTTATCTGACAAAATGATAATCTCCCATCAGAACTTAATGAGTTACTATATGTAAAAAGTGCCCAGAAGAGTGCCTGCCACACAGTACATGCGCCACGAGGACTGTCATTATTTTTATTATCATCATCCTCATTATTAGTTAAGTGTGGTTCCGTCCAGACTATTTCTGTGTGTGTTTTTTAAAAAATATTTATTGGCCAGCCAGTGTGGCTCAGTGGTTGAACGTCAACCTATGAACCAGGAGGTCACAGTTCGATTCCCAGTCAGGGCAGCTGGCCAGGTTGCGGGCTTGATCCCCGGTGTTGGGTGTGAAGGAGGCGGCCACTCAATAATTCCCTCTCATCATTGAAAGTTGTTTTCAGTTCTTCGCTGTTCACATGAGTGAGAAGTAAACATCCTTGTGCATGCCTCTATGTGCAACTACTTCCCTGAAGTAGATACTCAGAAGTAGAATTACTGTTTTAAAATATATTTTTTTATTGATTTTAGAGTGGAAGGGAGAGGGAGATAGAAATATTAATGATGAGAGAGAATTATTGATCTGCCACCTCCCACACACCCCTACTGGGGATCGAGCCCACAACCAGGTCATGTCCCCTTGAACAGAATTGAACCTGGGACCCTTCAGTCTGCAGGCCGATGCTCTATCCACTGAGCAAAACTGGCTAGGGCACAGAATTACTTTTAAAGAGACCTGCTAGCTTCCTGTGATTAAATTCTCTTCCCCTTTCTCATTTCTCAACCTCCTGAGGTAGTAATTCCAGACTTGATAATCTGGAAAGCAGAGGGCAAGGCAAATACAGCCATGAAGGGGCTCTATTCGCAGAATGCTTTTTTGTTGTTATTAATGCTTGCCCGAGGATATTTTCCTATTGATTTTTAGGGAGAGTGGACGAGAGAGGGAAAGACAGAAACATCGATGTGAGAGAAACACATCAATTGGTTGCCTCCTGCACGAGCCCCAACCAGGGCCCGGGCTGGGAAGGAGCCTGCAACCAAGGTACGTGCCCTCGACTGGAATCGAACCCAGGACCCTTTGGTCCGCAGTCTGACGCTGTAGCCATTGAGCAAAACTGGCTAGGGCACAGAATGCTTTTGCATAAAGGGAAGGCTAACCCATGGCTTCAGCTGCAGTCCCACACTGGCCCGTTGTCTCTGGCTGCATGGGAATTCCCTATCCCGGCCTGAGATGAGTTGAGGGAACGGTATCTAAACCAAGGGCCAACAAACTTTCTGTAAAGGCCAGGAAGTAAATATCTTAGGTTTTGTAGGCCATACAGTCTCTGCTGCCATTGTAGTCTAGAAGCACTCATAGACAGTCTATGAAGGGAGGAGCATAGCTGTTTTTCTAATTTGGCCAGAATGTGTTCATTCTAAATGATTCCTTAAAATGTTACTCTTAAAAAGGAAGGAAATCCATCACATATTGCAACATGGATGGACAGTTCATAGACAGTCTATGAAGGGAGGAGCATAGCTGTTTTCCTAATTTGGCCAGAATGTGTTCATTCCAAATGATTCCTTAAAATGTTACTTGGTGCTTGCCTCAGTAGTTCTCAGTGTAGGTCAAGAAGAAGAATGAAGTTTCATTAGAAAATCTTTCAGATCATTAAAAAAAGTTTTCTTTAAAAAAATGTGATACATGCTCATTGTTAAAACAAGAAAATTCACATGATAAGGTAGAAAAAAAAAATCTACCCACCGATGAAAGAATAACACACATAATGGAATATACACATAATGGAATATTATTCAACCTTAAAAAGGAAGGAAATCCATCACAGATTGCAACATGGATGGACAGCGAGGACGTTACGCTAATTGAAATAAGCCAGTCACACAAAGACAAATATGTATAATTCCACTGACATGAGGATTAAAGTCAAGTTCATAGAAGCAGAAAGTAGAGTGGTGGTTACTAGGAACTGGAGGAGGAACGGGGAATTGTTTCATGGATACAGAGTTTCAGTTTTGCAAGATGAAAAAGTTGTTTTACAACAAGGTGACTGTTGGACTGTACACTTAAAAAGATGGTAAATTATATGCTATGCGGTTATTGTTTTTTTAACCACTAAAAAAAAAATGGTCAAAAGAAAAATAATCACTACAGTCTTGCCACCCAGGTATAACTATTTACAGGTTTGAGATATAGTCCCCTGGGTTTTATTCCCCACCCCCTATAATATACTAATACTGATGATGATGATAATGATTCCTTGAGTATCTACTTTTTTTTTTACTACCATATGCTAGCCACTGTATCAGGATATAAAAGAAATGCAAACAGAAGCGTGTAAGGCCTGGCTGGTGTAGCTCAGGCATTGTCCCATGCACCAAAAGGTTGCCGGTTCAATTTTGGTGGGGGCACATGCCCAGGTTGTGAGCTCGATCCCTGGTAGGGGGCGTGCAGGAGGTAGCTGATCGATGTTGCTCTCTCACATCCATGCTTCTCTCTTTCTCTACCTTTCCGTTCCTCTCTCTCTAAAACTCCATAAAAAATATTTTTTAAAAAAAGAAGTGTGTATGAGCTTCCAAATCTATTTTGAAAATCTACTTGGAGCTATTTTACAAGGCTCAAACCCTTTGCTAATAACCTTAAAGCCATAGAAGTTTAGAAAAGGGAGAACTGGTAGGGGCAATGCAGACTTCTTAGAGTGGTGGAGATTTAATGAATGAATAGAGATAGGTGAAGAGAAGGAAGGAGGGTGCTCTTGGTATGAGGAATCCTATATAATAAAAGGCTAATATGCAAATTGACCCCTCTACCAGGAGTTTGACTAGGAGTTTGACCAGAGGGCGGGGCCAGCCAGCCTACCACCTGTGGCCCCTTCCCCCAGCCGGCCCAGCCCGATCGGCCCCCACCAGTACATGAATTTGTGCACCGGGCCTCTAGTAACTTGAATAATTGTTATCAAAATGGGGAATTAGCATGTCGGAGACCTGCCCAACCAGGAGTGAGGATGCCCTGGGATTGGCAGGATAGGAGGCTCTGTGGGCAGGTGACCCCTGAAGAGCCAGAACAAGCTTTGGGTTCAGTCTATGGGAGGCAGTAGGGATTCATCCATGTTCCCGAGCTGTGGTATATCCTATGTATTTCTTCTTAGGTTCTCCACTTGCTACTGGAACTGGAACCCTTCTCCTGGTCCTCTCCGATGTGAATGACAATGCCCCTGTACCAGAACCTCGAAGTTTGGAATTCTGCCAGAGGGATCCACAGCCTCACATCATCAACATCATTGATCCAGATCTTCCCCCCAACACATCGCCTTTCACAGCAGAACTAACTCACGGGGCAAGTGTCAACTGGACCATTGAGTACAATGACCCAGGTGGGAGCTCGCCTCTCATTTTGGAAACTTTGCTCTGACTTTCATGCTTCCCCCGCCCCCACCCCCACCCTCCCTTCCGAATTCCCTTCTCAACTTGCAGATGTCACCCCTTTCATTCGATGCTTGTTTCCTTGTCCCCTCTACATTTGAGGCTGCCACCAAACGCCCCCTTTCCCTGCTGGTTGACTCTGGAACATACTGCTCAGTAATCTCCAATCCAAGCAGCTTTGGAACATCTTTAGTTCCTTAATAATCTTACTCGACAGTAAACTTTTTTTCTCTCCTGATCCCATCATTTATTTTTGTTGCTTCCTCTAGAACATGAATCTCTCATTTTGAAACCAAAGAAAACCCTAGAGTTGGGTGACTACAAAATAAACCTCAGGCTGGAAGATAACCAGAACAAAGACCAGGTGACCACCTTAGAAGTGTATGTGTGTGACTGCGAAGGGGCTGTCAGCAGCTGTAAGAGGAACGCACCCATTGTCGAAGGTGGATTGCAGCTTCCTGCCATCCTGGGGATTCTTGGAGGCATCCTTGCTTTGCTAAGTAAGTACAGCTGACGAGTGTACTTTGCCTTCTAAAATGGGGGAGGTTTATCACTTTCCGAACATTTCAGAGGTCAGAGGTCCAGGACTGGAAGGCCACCTATTGTATTAATTCAATAGAGGGCCCAGTCCTTCTGTTTTACTGTTCTTTCAATCCATCAGGGTAGTACTTCTCAAGCTCATGGGCAGACAAATGACCTGTACCTCTTTGTTTGTTTGTTGTTTTTTTTACCGGTGTCTCTCCGTAACATGACAGTTTTGATCCAGTAGGTTTGGGGCAGGGCCTCAGATTCAGCATTTCTAACCAGCTCCCACGTGATGCTGGACATGGTGGGTCCTGAGACCAACTCAGGGCAGCAAGGCCTTGGGATGCTGTCCTCATCAGCGTGGTTGAAGCCAACCAGCTCACCTCCGCACATTCCATCCTAGAGGAGGGGTGATCGAGGAAGGGGAAGGGACACATCTGGAAACTGCACACATCACCTTCACTCACACCCCCTTGGCCCAAACACAGCCACACCTGGAAGTCCCCACTCTAACTGGGTGACCATGTGCTCGATTAAAACTTAGCAGAGGGCAGGGGTGGAGTGTGGGGTGAACAGTGAGTATCAATGACTGAAAGAATGAAGGAGAAAAAGGATACTGGGAAAATTTTGGCGGTTTCTGCTGTAGTGTTTAAAACTGATACTATCTATCCCTAGCCCACCTAGGGTTGACACAGATGTTTTTACAGTTTCAAAAAAATTGATTTGTTGTCCCACTTATTTCTACATTCTTGTATGTGCTCAGTCCCCCTGGGTAGTACTTCTCAGGGTAGTACCAGTCCCTCAGGTAGTAGCATTCTTGTATAGTTGCTTCTTGTATGTGCTCTGACCAAGGATCAAAGCTGCAACCTTGGCATACGGGGACGATGCGCTACCCAGCTGAGCTACCCGGCCAGGGAGGAATCTGGTATTTCTTCCAGGGGATCTTCTTGTTCTAACAAGAACAAAGATAGCAGCCATCTTTCATTCTATGAAACACTATAATCAATTTTATGCCCATAATCAGCCTATCTTGTGGCTTTGAATCTTGCTGTGACACAGTATCTTCTATGTCTGAGCTATTTACAATAAACAGTTTGAAATTTTTAAAACATTAAATGTTAATTGTATATCTTAGAATTATCCCAAGATCAGATGAAAACCCTGGAAATTAAACAGCTTTTAAAGCTTGCTTACATGATTTTATCTTAAGAGAAGATAAGGTATATACCAGGTGATTTTTAATAGTCTATGCCCCACCCCTATAATGGATTAACAATAATATGCATGTGTCAAATCACATTTAGGCTGGCCCCACCCTGCTCGCAAAATTCCAGTGGCATCAGTTCGCTCAGAACCAAAGTCCTTCCAATGGTCCACGTGTCCTGGCTACCCCTCTGACCTCCTCAACACTTCTTTCCCCCTCACTCATCCTGCTACAGCCACGCTGACCTCCCCTTCCTGAATCACACCATGCAAGGCCTTTACTGGTATCATGTCCACTGCTTGGAACACTTTCCCTCAGATTTTGGAAAATAACCGATTGGTTTCAGATCCCGTTGTGAATTCAAGACCACGCTTGAATGCACATACTGTCCGGTCTGCTGTAATGCGTATGTTACCTGCAGGGATGTGAGCATCGCCACGTGGGTTGTCTAACAGCCATCCGTCTGGTATGCGAGGCAGTGTGCGCTGACAGTCGCTGCTTATGGCTTTCTTGACCTCTGTCTTCCCCTTACAGTCCTGATTCTGCTGCTGCTGCTGTTTGTCCGGAGGAAGCGGGTGGTCAAAGAGCCCTTACTGCCCCCAGAAGATGACACCCGGGACAACGTGTATTACTATGATGAAGAAGGAGGTGGAGAAGAGGACCAGGTGGGTTTTAAAAACTGTGGTAAAAATCTTAGTGGCAGTTTATTTGGAAGAAGCAGTGGTTACAGGGCGGACATTGGAAATAGCTCTGTGTCATTTTGTATATTATGTTTTTTTAAAGCCTTGCCCAAGAACATAGACATTGTCACTAGCCATCGTCATCCACACAACATGGCTTACATTTATTGAATGCATACCATTCTGCACGCAAGTTACTGAACAGAGGCACAGAGCAGTTAAGCAACTTGCCCAAAGTCACACAGCTAGGAAGCACTAGAACCAGGCAGTCTGACTCCAGAGCCTACTCTCCTCGTTGCTAGTCTCAGGAAATGAACTTCATTCAAATTATCTTTGACATGGAGCAGCTGATCTGGCTTCATATTTTTTCCCCTTGAGTTATTTTAGCTATGCTAAGCTGTTTGTTTTTTTTACTTTTTGTAAATATTAAATCTTTAGGTTTTCTTTATTTGTCCTGATTTGGAGGTGGTCTTAACTTGCCTTACCCTGGAGTTTTACCAGAGAAGTTTTAAAAGTCTGCTGTTTTTAGAAAGGGAAGCATCAGACCCATTACAGAGTCCTGATAGGGTGGGAAGGGCGTGAATATTTGCTGAATAATAATCTAATAATCATACCCTGTGAGAAGTTAATAAGGTACAGCCATCTCCATCTCTACCTGCAAGCGTTTCTCATAATCCTCTTGTGCTATATTTCCTTCCAAAGCTGTTTTGGAGACTCTTTGGTTGAAAACTACCATTTCAGCTTACACTGGCACATGCCTGTAAATCTATAGTTGGCAGTGAAGGCATTAGCCAGTACCATAACCTGTAAACCAAACAGAACCCTGTTTCTGATTTACTCTTCGTTATACGTTTACCTTTTTCTCCAAAGGACTTTGACCTGAGCCAGTTGCACAGGGGCCTGGATGCTCGGCCGGAAGTGACTCGCAATGATGTGGCGCCGACCCTCCTGACTATGCCCCAGTATCGGCCCCGCCCTGCCAATCCCGATGAAATTGGAAACTTCATTGATGAAGTAAGTCGGCAAAGTCAAAAGCCAAGGCACAACCCATCTCTAAACTTAGAAAGGAGCCTTTGTGTCCAAAGTTGGAGAGAGTCTAGATTCTTTCCTTCGCCACATTGTCATCTTTCATGATCCCTGAGCCCTATTTTTGTGTGTCTCATCTGAATTTCAGAAATACCATTTCGAATGGATCTTAGTGAACTGGGAAGTCCATCTGGCAACACCAAGAATTACTTGAAAAGACTGAATAGAATTAGAAATGAAACGAAAGAGATACAGAGCAGATCCTGTTTGGTTTCTGGGTGGCATCTGTCCATCCAGGTCGATTGGTGCTTCTGTCTTCCCTCCTTACAAAGAACTTACCGTTTTCATTTTTAGGGGGAAAAATATTCTGCATATTTCCCCTTAACTTGGTTTTCATTAACAACATATCATGTCTATCTTCGGGGCAGTTTGTATAAATTTACCTTGCTGGTGTTGATTGCTACCGGGGTCCTACAGGGTGATGGTTGTATTGTCATGTGGTCCACTTTGCTTGAGGCATCAAGAGAAGGCATCTTTTTTGTTTGTTTGTTTTAATGTGCCTCAGGCATGAAACAGCTCTGGCCACCCAGACAGGCATCAAGCTAGGATGAACTAAGGACTGCATGTCTTTTCTGCCCCTGATTGATATAAGAGAAATACCACCAGTCAGGTGTCTCCTTGCCTATTGCCAGGGGGTAAGAGAAGGCATTTTGCCTAAGATGTCAGGTGTGTGGCTCCTTTCATTGAAAGATCCTGTTTTCTTCCTCCTTCTTTAGAATTTGAAGGCGGCCGACAGCGACCCCACGGCTCCCCCTTACGACTCTCTGCTCGTGTTTGATTACGAAGGAAGTGGTTCCGAAGCTGCTAGTCTGAGCTCCCTGAACTCCTCGGAGTCAGACCGAGACCAGGACTATGACTACCTGAATGAATGGGGCAATCGCTTCAAGAAGCTGGCAGATATGTATGGAGGTGGCGTGGATGATTAGGGGACTCAAGGCCGATGAGGAGAGAGATGGGTCCCTATACCCGTGTGCTGGGAAATGTAGGAATAATTTTTCTGGAGGTCTTTCAGCTCCCCTTATGTGAGATGAATATCTGGGGAAGAGAGACGGATCAGTGGTGCCGCTAGGGTAGTTATAATTTCCACTTTGTAGATCTAATCTGTGTGTTAGAAAGATTTTGACTTATTCCTTGAGTCCTCTCTTTCTCTCATCACTCTTTACAAGCTTGCAACTTGCAGATTTTTTTTTAAGGGCGTTGTCTCATTTTTAAAAGGAAGGGGTGGGGTTGAATGCCCTATTGTTTTTATATACATTAAATTTAATTTTTAATTTTTTTTTATCCTATCCCTGCTCGGGTGTCTCATGTACCAGTATCCACTCTCACTCCTCAATCTACGTTACCCAAGACAGGACTTCTGTGAGGCAGAAACTATTGGGCCCTTTTAGGGTAAGAGGCTGTGTCTTAGTCTGGCCATATTGTGACTGGGTATTGTATACTCTTCAGGTCTTAAACAGTTTTCTTTTTTCATCTCCTAAGTGTGTAACTTGAAATGGACATCTACCCATTTACTTGTTCTGAGTCAGAATGTTTGTTATGTGAATGTCCTTATGGGGGTACTTTGGTTCTAAACAAGGAGCCTTGATCAGAAACAACAATGAGTTTTCAGGTGCCACTTAACTTTTTATGTTTATCACAAAAACTTAAAAGAGCCCGATGTACTTGGAGACTCGGAACAGTGCCGAAAGTGTGGCAGCCAAAGAGAGAAGATGGCTTTTCACAGCTGATGGGAAACATGAGAAGTGGGCTTGGAGATGGCAGGAGAAATTGTCGCGGAGCCTGGCGATTTAGCAAACTGAGGCTGAGAATGGTGGACATGGCTTTACCTCTAGCCCTGAAAATTCTGGAAAAAATGGGAAGAATCTCAACATGTGTTTCCTACCCAGATCTCAAGACCATGGTCCATAGAATCCCCAAGTGCTTGCTTCTGTTGATGTCCACAGGAAGTAGTGGCTGATCTGGACACACATGCCCCCAAATCCGAGAAAACAGAATATTAGGAACTCCAATTTTTTTCCTGGGGGGTAAGGAGAACCTCGATTGAGATATTCTTTTAGTTGAGACTATCAAAAACATTTGACAACCACAGAAAATTGCTTACTGTCCATCAACTGTTTTTCGAAGGAAAAAATCATCCTTGCAACCACTTCTTGGAATTGTCTTGATTTTTTTGGGGGGGATAAAAACTACATAAAATGAAATTTATTAAAACATTTAATAATAAAACCTCAGACCTCACGTGGGCTTCTCAGCAGGAGGAAGGGAGGGAGCTGTCACCAGCCTGCAGCTCCACTGGCCTCCATGTAATGTCTTAATGCTGATGGGCTCGCATGGAATCGGGGGATTTGGTGGGAGCTGGCAGGGCTGCAGGGTCTTGGCGAGAGGGCCCAGGTGCGGAGGCTGGAGGTCTGCTGTATGTATGGTCTCTCAGGTGGACAGACTGGACAGACGGGGCCTGAGTTTCTTTCTCACCTTCTGGGAGAGCTGGATGGAGGTCGGGGCCGCTCTCTTGGACAGATCTACCACCAATCCTGGGAAAGTAACAGACTATTCGTTCATTCTCTGTTTCCTCCTGGTCACTCTGTGGTCCCATCCCTTTCTGGACCTCCAAGGGTCTGGAGGGCCCCTGTTCTAGATGACGATCCGCTGTTGGCTGCAGACTTGTGAATCTCCGGTTGTGAGCTGGACGCTCCGGACCTCCGAACCTGCCTGATAAGAGTCAGAATCTGTCTTGATTTTTTAAGCAATTTAAACTCTAATGTAGTTCTGTATAGACAGTCACTATAGTTTTGAGTGTATATGTGTGCGGGTGCTGATAATTTCTATTTTCTTTGGGGATGGAAAAACAATTCAGGCTGATAAAACGTATTCCTAAATATTCATTTTTATAAATTTTATTAAAGAATTTTGTTAAATCATTGTCAAACTTGTTTTATTTGATTGCACCACAATCCCAGGCAACACAAATGATAGATGACCTCAGTCTAAACATGGAGAAAGCTTTATATTCAGATGACCTCTCCAGAGCTTTGTTTTTCTGTTGTGCATAAAGTGGGAGAGAAACTGCATTTTCAAGGTCACTTTATTTGAAAAACATCTCTTCATGCCCTCGCTGATTTTGCTCAGTGGATAGCGCGTCGGCCTATAGACGGAAGGGTCCCGGGTTCGATTCTGGTCAAGGGCTGCGGGCCTGATCGCCAGTAGGGGGCATGCAGGAGGCAGCCGATCAATGATTCTCATCATTGATGTTTGTATCTCTCCCTCCCACTTCCTCTCTGAAATCAATAAAAATATATTTTTAAACGGTCCAAAATTATAGAAAGAAAAACATCTATTCATGTGCATGTTATAAAACCAATACAATTCCTTTGGCAATGGGAGAAGACTGGGCTGAGCTGAGGGTAAGAAGTAGAGCTTCAAACAACATTCAGTCAGTCAGCAAAGTTAATATAGACCAGAGGTTCTCTAATAGGGTAGATGGTGGCCCCCTCCCCCAGGAGATATTTGGCAATTTCTGGATATGCTTTGGTTGTCATGACTGGGGAGGTGCTGCTAATGTCAAGTCAAGGCCAGGGAAGCTGCTAAACATCCTGCAATGCACAGGACAGCCCCACAAACAAAGAATGATCAGGCCCCAAATGGCAATGGTGATAATCCTGGGATAGGCCTTTGACTTTTCCCTGCTGGAGGGGTATAACTTTTTAAACTACTCTTAAAATTTTTAAATTGTAAACTATATATAACATTTTATTATTTTTAGGTGCACAGTTAAGTTGTAATCTATACATTAACAGGGGTTTAATAATGGTGACATTGTTCACTAGGACAATCCTTATTCTTAGGAGACAAATGATGAATCTAGGGGTAAAGTGTTAATGCTGTCTGGAAAGTAACAATTTGAGAAAAAAGCATATCAACAGAGCGCAAAAGCAAACGCGAAAAAATGTTCACAACGACTGCACCTGTGTTCACTGCGTTATTCACAACAGTCAAAAGGTGGAAACAACCCAGATGTCCATCAGTGAATGAGTATATTAAATAAAAGGTGGCATACACATAACATGGAATATTATTCGGCCTTAAAAAGGAGAAAAATCCTGCCCTGGCTGGTGTGGTTCAGTGGGCTGGGCATCATTCCCTGCACCAGGCTGTTGCTGGTTTGATTCCTGGTCAAGGGCACATACCCCAGTTGTGAGCTTGATCCCTGGTAGCGGGCGTGCAGGAGGCAGTGGATCCATGTTGTGCTCTCACATCCATGTTTCTCGCTTCCTCTTCTCCCTCTCCTGAAAAATCAATAAACTATTCTTAAAAAAAAAAAAAAATCCTGACACATGCTACAATGTGAATACTTATACCACTGAACAGTTTACTTTAGAAAGGTTGATTTTATGTTATGCATATCTTACCTTAATAAAAAGAAGTTTGACATGGGAGTATAAAATGGTTGCATAACATTGTGAATGTACTTATTGCCACTGCATCATACACTTAAAAATGGTAAATTTCATGTCTTACAGTAATAAAATATAGGGGGAAATATGATAAAGACAAATAAAATGGTTCTCCCATGAATAAAATAGAATTGTTTACAGAGTACCTACCATAAGCAAGGGGCTGTACCAGCAAGGAAATGTAACTTCTGAAAAAGACTACTGTGGAAAGCGGCTACAGTGTTTGGACAGGTTCAAGCCTTGGACTAATGAGAGGGCACAGTCCTCTCATTGCCACGTGCAAGTCCCAGCTTGGAGGGCAGAGCCCTCCCAGCACAATTATAGCCAACAGCTATAGCTGTAAGCTTGAACCTATGGTCCGAACACGTCCTGAGTGATGTGGGCTTGATAAGAGTTCAGGTGCATGTAACTGAGTAGGATCGAAACCCACGAGAATGTTGTAAACATCTTGACCACACCCTTACTTTGTCTCGTGGAATCAGGCTATAAAATAAAGATACGGCTTGTAGTCTGTGGCGCTGTTGCTAGCTCTCCATCAGAGAGGACAGCGTTCCACCCAGACCCAGCTTTCATTCTCTTGTCTGTCTTTTCTCCATCCTTCACCGCCCCCTCTCAGGGTCACCGAACCTGGCTGAGCTGGCGCGGCACATAAGGCGCCCAATGTGGAGCTGAGTATGCCATGGCCGGGCTGGCTCGCCACAGACTACTGAGAAGGTAGCAGGCCCAGCCAGGAGCCTGGATGATGGGAGGCCTGGAGAACCGTGCCTCCGTTTCCCTCCTGCTAGTTCTGTAGGTCCTGCCAAGGTGGTATGTGGAGAAGATGGGAGCCGTCCTGCCCGAGTTCAAATTCTGGTTCCGTACTTTAGTATTTAACCTTCCCCTCTCCTGTTTCCTTATCTCCAATAGGAAGATAACTGTTTACTTCATAGGCTGTGAAGCTAGGTGAGCTGAAATGTCTAAAGCTTTTAGAAGAGTGCCTGGCTCACGGAAGTGCCTTTCTTCCTATTGTCGAATAAGGGGCACAGCAAGGGAGTTTTGAGTAGAGGAAATCATTTAAGCAAAAGCAGGATGATAGGAAAGACCAAGCCAGACTGGATTTAGTGGGTCATATAAACTATTAAAGTGTGTTGAGCAGAACTATGTGACCCAAAGTGGTGTTCTGTGAAGGTGCATCTGTTTGCAGGGTTGATGAACTGGCCTGGGGAGGGGAAGAGACAGCAAAGAGCCTCTGAATTTTGAGTTGAAATAGAGATAAAGGGATCCAGAATATACCCCTAATGAAGAAGTGTTCGTTTCCCTCCCTAAACTCCCCTTATCTGCCTAAAAGCAGAGGCTCCCAAAAGAATTCAACAGTCATAAATCTCCCCAGGAGTTTCACAACCAGGGAGGGTAGAAATGAGCACCACTGGGATAGGAAATCACCAACAGATATTGTCACAAAACTATCATATCTCCCATTTATTCATTTATTTTTCCTCAAAGTCACTTGTTTTCCCTTCACTGCCCTTTCTCTCCCTCCCCTTTCCTTATTAAGATAGCATAAAAGCCCCCAATTCTAACCACCTCGTCGAGGCACATTTTTCTGTGAATTCTTTAGGATGTGAATAAACATCTGGTTTTTCTCTTGCTTATCTGTCTTTCGTCAGTTTAAATCACAGACCCCATATCCAAAACCTCAGTAGATAAAGTTCCCCTCAGACAGGGATCTGCTTGATGCTAAAGGGAGAGGTAATATAAAGGTAAAACCTTTCCTTTAAGATAAGTGAAAAGAAGCTTCAGTGATGTCTTTTGTGGAGTAGGTGGTGGGGGTTATCACAGAGACTAAGGTTTTTAGACCGATAGGGTAAGACTTTAGGGGTCAGTTATGAAAGATGGAATGCAACCACTCCACTTATCACATGTGGCGTTAGAAGGTAGAAACCCTTAACTTGCTGGGGTCTTTGTTGGTGATTCTGTTTCTGTAAATCAGTCATTGATAACTATTGGATACCAAAAGCCTTGTTAGTTCTGAGTTGACCAATTTTCTGTTTCGTTAGGTCTCCCATTGTTCTCATTCAGTACATGAATATTTTCATACTGAAATACATATTGTTTCACGATAAACTACTTCTAATTTCCTTCTTGATGTAGCGGTTAATTGTTAGCTGTGGGTCCCCTCCACCCTCCAGGGCAATAAAGTGAGAAGGAGAAAATATCAGGACAAATGGGCGTTCCCGCCGACGTCGGCCCCGCCCACACTTATGGCCCCGCCCA